TGCGTCTTCTTCTGGGCGGCCCGGGTCGGCCGCCTCCTTTTGCTATTCATCCTCGCCTCGTAGCCGCCTGCTGGCGGCGTCGCTGTGGTTCCAGGCCGAAACCGTCCAGAAGGTGAGCACGTAGGTGTTCGAGGCAATGGAGAAGGCGGCGAACCGCCGGCACAACCGATTGAGGAGACGCGACGAAGACCAACCCTTCGCCACGACGCAGCTGACCACCCGACTGTCGAAGATGTGGCAGAACCGGCGTTTGTGGAAGTCCTTACTCCCGGCCTGGCTCCGCACGTAGTTGAAGAATGCAGTGGATTCAAGAGCGTTGATATGCTGTGGCGCCTTCCACCCGTAGCTCTGCGCCGTGGTCCACTCCCAGCAAAATGCTGGGTATGGCACGTCCTGGCGGCATCCGTCGACAAGCGCCCCAGTCGTTAAGCGAACGTCAGACCCTCGATAGTCCGCCCGCTTCAACATGGCCTTGAGGTGCTCGATTTCGGCGCCCCTCCTCATCGTGGACATCGTCTCCAATAGCTTCTCCACGATCGCCGGCTGGAGCGCTTCCTGCCGAAGCCTCGCAGTCGCCACCCAGAGCCCTTCGGCCAACCATGCGGGTCGTTCAGAAGGCGCGACTGGCAGGAAGGCGCACCCGCCTAAGGAAGCAATCTCTGAAGCCCAATGGCCAAAAACCTCCGCGAACTTCACGGGGAGCTCGACGTCGAGGCGGCCTCTGCCCTCAATAGGGCAGTCGCACGGGCCACTGCCGCAGAGCACGTCCAAGGCAGGGCTGTTGTGTGCAATGCGCATTGGAGTGCCGAACTGCGCGCCATAGCGACACGTGCACGTCCAGGTCGATATGACCCCCTCGAGCTCGAGGACCTCGGCGAGAGGCGCCTGGTGCCAGATCCAGCTGCTCGCAGAGTGGATGACGAAACACGGCCGCCGCTCCCTGGTCCTCTCCTGCGGCAGCCGCTGCGGCTTGGCACCGGCGCCGGAATTGAGCGTGGATCCGCTGGGGGGCCCATGGCATGCTGCCGCGCCAATCTTCAGGCTGGCATCGCCGAGAATCCACGCCGTCATGCTGCAGGAGCCAACCTTCGAGGATGCAACTCGGGCTCCCACGCGCCAACGGCTCAAGAGCCGGATGGGTCAAGACCCGCCCGCGCGGAGCTCGACCTGAGGGAGAGGTGAAAGTCAAGATCCCTCTTGCCATCATGGCCCTGGCAACGCTCGCTTCTGTCGTGCAACCGAATAACCCCACGAAAGGGACTGCTGAAACGAACTTCTTGCAGACCCCGTTTGCATCCATGTGCGCTCCGAGGCAATCGGCGGAGCAGACGATGGCTCCGCACGCTCCGGGGCAGGGGCACGCCCAATCCGACGGAGAGGAACCGCACGAAGAGCACGTAGTCCGAGGCTTCGCGTCTGCACGCGCCGCCTCCTCGTTCAGAGCCGCGTTCACGTCGTCGTGGACCTCCGCTGTTTCGGGATCGAAGGCCGAGATCAGCTGTCTGGCTTCGGACGCTCCTCCGCCGCTCTCCGAAGCGTCGCTCGAGCTGATGATGCGCCGAAGCTGGGCGCGCAAATCCGTGAAGCACATCGGCAGCAAGGCTGTTGCCACCATGACCTCGTCCACGACCTGCGGATCAGGCTCCAAGATGCCTTGGGCCTTCGTTTCGGCTGCAGCTGCGAACCCAAAACACTCCTGCAAGACCGAGAAGGTCGGCCTCCTGAAGCCAGCTGCGAAGCAATATCCGCCTATCCAGTGCTGCAGACCGGCCGCCGGCCACGCACGCCTGGTCAGCAAAGCCAGCGCCTTGGATATCAGAGCGTGGCCCTTTCCGCGCTCGACCGCCAACGTGCCCCGGACACCGTCGAGCTCGCCGCCGAGGATCTGGCCCGCCAGTCCTTCGACAAGGCTCTTGGCGGCATTGAGCGGCAGACCGAGTTCGGAGCAAGTCTGCACGAAGCGGCCGTGCTCCTCGGAAGCTTCGAACTGCAACTCATCGAGCTTCCCGCTAAGAACGCGCAGCCGGCGCACAAAGTCGAACCCGTCCATGCACACCACGCTGATGTCGCCGCTGGGGACCTCCTGCTCCTTGCTCAATTCGGTGTTCGCTGACACGCCGCACAGCCCAAAGACAAAACGCCGGGCCATGCACTGCATCAGGTCGACGGCCCCCAGCCACCCCATGGGGACGGCTCGCATGGCCACGTGCGTCATAACGCTGGGGTCCCCACCGAAGGCCGACATCGGAACGACCTTTTCGAATGCGAAGAAGGCGGACCATGCCGGTGGCATCCGGAAGAGGTTGAAGCAGGCTTGCATGTCCTCGGAGTCGATGGTCAAGATCTCGTAGCCCTCGAGAAGAACGAGGCCCAGCTGGCCCAGGTACGGAAGATCTCCAGCATCGCCCCGCAATTTCCGGAAGAAGGCGTTGATGGAGCAGAAGATGCAGGTAAAGCGGAGGCACGTCACGACCTCGCCATCGACCAGCTTCGGCTTGTCGACCCCCATGGCCCCGTTCAGCACAGGGGTCCCCCACGCGTCCCGGAAGATGCCCGTCTCCGCGATCGGTTCGAAGAGGCCCCTCTCGAAGCCGGCGCGTGCCAAGGAGTACCACTCAGAAGACGAGGCGTGGACCCGAGACACGGGCGTGCGGCTCGGCCATTGGCCTCGCGGGAGGAGGCACCGCTCCGGATCCCGCAAATCGTCTCGGAGTTCCTCGGAAACGAACTCCTCAACGTTGAACAAGCAGGCGCCGCCCACCGGCGGCCAGCAGGGGAGCACACGGGAGCACACGAGTGAGTTCCCGCCTTTTGCTCCCGACCTCCCCCTGGTAGCCGAGCTTCTTGTGAAGGAGGTCCTCCATGCAGGTCTCGAGGTGGAAGGGCGCGCCGTCAAATTCAACGAAGTGCTGGACCGCGTGCCAAATGTGGTCCAGGCAACACTTCTGAGCTGGGTCCAGGCCAGGGGGCGCGGAAGAACGGGTAGGCGAGCTGGACCAACCAGCGCAGGCGAGGAAGTTCAAAGCATCCAACACGAGACCGGACCAGAGCACCCCGAGGGGCCGCATGCGAGGCGAAACCTTGGAGCACGGGAGGCCGCTGAAGTACGGCCGAGCGTCGTGCGAGCTGATCGGCAGTAACTCCCTGCGCGAAGAACTGGCCGAGGTGGCCGAAGCGCGAACGGAGCCGAGTTTGGACTTCAGATCGCCCCCCGGGACGCTCGCGAGCAGAGAGCGGGTGAAGTCGCCGAACCTGCCTCTAGAAAACCCGGCGCTCAACGCGAAGACGCCCATGGCCTCCGCCGAGTCCTCGCAAGACCTTGCGGCCTCCGTGCACCATGCCCTCCAAGCGCCGAGCCCAGCGCCGGGGGCGCCCCGAAGCTCCTGAGGGAGGAAGCCCAGGAGCTCCGCCTGAGCGGCGCTATTCGCCACCGCCCTTGTCCTTCCCCTTCTGCTTGCCCTTGCCTTTCCCCTTGTCCTTGCCTTTCGCCTTCCCGCTCCCCTTGCCACTGTCGCCGGAGGTGCTCCAGACGTAGTCGTAGCTCTGCTGGTGTGGCCCGGCGGACCGGCGATGCAGACGCTGGTTGAACTCCGTCTCCTTCTTGGCGTTGTATTCCTCCTCCTTGTTCACCAGCGTCGCCGGCTCGACCGGGACCAACTCCAAGTACTGGGCCGTGTCCCACGACCCACTCGTTGATGCCAACTCCAGCGCCTTCAGCCGTTGTGCTGCCACGTCTGCCGCCGCCTTCGTCCTGCCGAGTGCGAGGTGGTCGAGGATCACCGCCATGGTGTGCATCTCCCGCACGTTCCTCAGAGAGCTCACCTTCTCCGTGTTCGGCTTGAGGACGCGGATGAAGTACGACTTGGCGCTGGCAGGGGTGAAGTTCTGGTCCCAGGTCTTCGCCTCCCCGTCCCTGCCGACGCAATCCTCCATCTGCTGGAGGGTTCGCGTCGCCAGCCGTCCTGGATGCCGCGCTGCCCAGGACATCAGACGGTCCTGGGTGGACCGCCCGCCGGAGGGGGAGGCATCGGGAAAAACCGGCGACGCAGAGCGGGATGCACTGCGATCGCGCTCCCGGCGCCTGCTCCGAGACCTCGACTCTCGTCGCCGCCGCCTCTCTCGTGACCGATCGCGCCGGCTGCGACGGGCCCGCTCCTCCTCAGCTGGGTCGCTGGCGAAGGCCCTCGGCCTGGACGGGGCCGCAACCTCCTGTGGGCGCCGCTGTCCATCACCATTGTAACGCCTATCTTTCCTGTCATCTCTCCTGCCCTCCTTCTCGACCTGATCGTCCTCCCTGTCCTGCTCCTTTTTCCGCTCCTCCTTGCGGTCGCTTTGACCACGGTCCCTGGCATCTCCGCGATCTCGCCTCCTGCTCGTGCCCACGTCCTCCTTTCGTGAGTGGCCTGCGTCGTCGTGGCGATGAGGGGCAGGACGAAGTCGGACACCCTCGGGATCATCGCGAAGATCGTCACGCAGCCGACGGAGATCGTCCCCTGTGCCGCGAGGCGGGCCCCCATCGAGGAGAGCCGGCCGAGTAGGTCGTTCAGCGTCGCCGCGAGGCCGGGGGGCATCAATCCGTGTTGGTTTCACGGTAGCCTGAATGGCCGAGATCTTCTCGAGGAGGGCCTCGCGCTTCCCACTGGCAATCCAGCCGACGGCTGAAAGGTCCGGCTCCGACCTAACGGCGTTGAGAAGCCTCCAGCGCCAGACCGGGATGACGGGCGCCTTGCGGAAGGTCGTCTCGTCGTCGTCGCCCTTCCCGGCCGCGTGGCGGTAGAGGCCGGGGGTGCCCCTTGTCCGAGGAAAGCCACCAGTCGTAGTACTTGTCCTCCACGGCGACCATTGTCGCCTCGTACAGCCTGGCCTTGCCAGCAGACTCGCTAATGACAAGCAGGCCCTTGCCCTGCTCGTTCCCGTCGTCGTCGTAACACTGCATCTCGATCACGTCGCCAGCGCTCCATCCGGCCTGGCTGGCAAAGTCGGGATCGAGGTCAGGAGAT